ATTGAATTAATATTTATATCAAAATATTTACATTATAAATCAAATATATGAATACAATAATATATAGTTTATTTCAAAAAGCAAAATCAATGATCTTATTCTATGGCTGCCAAATGAAATAGCTAGATGATTTGAATTAAAAATGGAATCTCTATTTTCTTAATATTTATCATTCAACAAAAATAATCAATTTGAACTTAATACTTTTGATGTTTAGCTTTAAATTATTTTTAATTTTGGTGATTTGATGTATTATGATAGAATTTTTTTATGCATATTGTGTCTGATTCAGTAGTCATTACCGTTTAAGACTCGATTTTTTTTGATTTAATATTGGTTTTTAATAATTATAGAAAGCAGTAGAAACTATTATTTAAGTAAACAAGATATATCTATTGTTGAAAGTTTGGTGTTTTATTCAATTTGATATCGTAGGTTTTGGAAATTGCACTGCTTTCAAAAATTTATGAAGATCTGATATTATTTAAATTATAACCAATTATTAAATCTATTTAATTTTTACATCATGATGAAGATCTTTTGATTGATAATGTCTATAGATCTCAATTCCTTTAATTTTACTGATACTTTATCAAATCTCACCCAATTTTTATTTTTCTGATAAAGTGAGGTTGAGTCAGATTGTTCTAGTGAATCATTTTTTTTCGATTCTTGAATTTAAAATCTAAATTTAATAAAGGATATAATTTAAGTGATAATATAGATACCAAACAAGTGTAAAATTTGAGGTTTGACCCTATTTCAAAATTTTTGAGCTTATTCTATAGAGAATAATTAGAACTTTAAAAAGATAAGCCTAGAATATTTAAGTTCTATTTGATACTGTGTATTTAAGCTATTATTTCGTAAATATTCGATTGGAGGAATTAAAAACAACTAATAATTTTGACATTTATTTATTTAGTCAATTATAGGCTTTAAATAGACAGTGGGATTTTCAGTCATAATAATTAAAAAAGACAAGTGGTTTTTTTGGCTTACAGTTTTAATAGGAAGGTTAACATTGCCAATTAGTAAAATTTAAAGATATGTAGCATTTTCACCAATAGTAGATACATAGTTTTATTTTTGAAATGGGAGAATTAAAGAGAAAAAATAATCTTTTTATCTTTGTACTTCATGATTAAAATCTCTGACAAGAATACACATATTTAGCTATCATCACAATCTTTTAGAATTATGTAGTGAACTAAGCAAGCATTGTCTGAGAGCTTAATTTATATCTAGCAGGTGTTGACTTTGAAATACAAAAAGAAATTAGTATAATTTAGTTGCAAAAAATCAAAATTTCCAATTTCAGTCACATGTAATTATGAAAAAATAGATCTCAAATGTATTTTAAGCAATGATGATGATATAATCTATNTATGGCTGCCAAATGAAATAGCTAGATGATTTGAATTAAAAATGGAATCTCTATTTTCTTAATATTTATCATTCAACAAAAATAATCAATTTGAACTTAATACTTTTGATGTTTAGCTTTAAATTATTTTTAATTTTGGTGATTTGATGTATTATGATAGAATTTTTTTATGCATATTGTGTCTGATTCAGTAGTCATTACCGTTTAAGACTCGATTTTTTTTGATTTAATATTGGTTTTTAATAATTATAGAAAGCAGTAGAAACTATTATTTAAGTAAACAAGATATATCTATTGTTGAAAGTTTGGTGTTTTATTCAATTTGATATCGTAGGTTTTGGAAATTGCACTGCTTTCAAAAATTTATGAAGATCTGATATTATTTAAATTATAACCAATTATTAAATCTATTTAATTTTTACATCATGATGAAGATCTTTTGATTGATAATGTCTATAGATCTCAATTCCTTTAATTTTACTGATACTTTATCAAATCTCACCCAATTTTTATTTTTCTGATAAAGTGAGGTTGAGTCAGATTGTTCTAGTGAATCATTTTTTTTCGATTCTTGAATTTAAAATCTAAATTTAATAAAGGATATAATTTAAGTGATAATATAGATACCAAACAAGTGTAAAATTTGAGGTTTGACCCTATTTCAAAATTTTTGAGCTTATTCTATAGAGAATAATTAGAACTTTAAAAAGATAAGCCTAGAATATTTAAGTTCTATTTGATACTGTGTATTTAAGCTATTATTTCGTAAATATTCGATTGGAGGAATTAAAAACAACTAATAATTTTGACATTTATTTATTTAGTCAATTATAGGCTTTAAATAGACAGTGGGATTTTCAGTCATAATAATTAAAAAAGACAAGTGGTTTTTTTGGCTTACAGTTTTAATAGGAAGGTTAACATTGCCAATTAGTAAAATTTAAAGATATGTAGCATTTTCACCAATAGTAGATACATAGTTTTATTTTTGAAATGGGAGAATTAAAGAGAAAAAATAATCTTTTTATCTTTGTACTTCATGATTAAAATCTCTGACAAGAATACACATATTTAGCTATCATCACAATCTTTTAGAATTATGTAGTGAACTAAGCAAGCATTGTCTGAGAGCTTAATTTATATCTAGCAGGTGTTGACTTTGAAATACAAAAAGAAATTAGTATAATTTAGTTGCAAAAAATCAAAATTTCCAATTTCAGTCACATGTAATTATGAAAAAATAGATCTCAAATGTATTTTAAGCAATGATGATGATATAATCTATAGGTAGAAAAGTGAAATTAGAATAGATTTCTGTTACATCAATCTAGAGTAGCGTGTTAACATACTTGCCCAATCAGTCGCTTCCGAAATCAACTTAAATTCATCTGACTAATTATTATTCAATCTAAAAGAAGATTTGATGAATTTAAAAGATAAGAAAATAAAATTAGAATAATGATTTAATTTTAACAAGACATTGGCATGGATATTTGTAGATTGATCCTTGAATAAATTTATTGTCTTATTATTATAAGCGTCAATAAGATAAATTGGTAGTTTACTTGAATTTTACTTTTGTTTTTGCTCATGTTTTTAATTTAATAAAGAATTTTTTCTTTGCTTAATTTTGATATAAGATTCTTAAATAATCTAACTGAATATTCTATTAATTTATTAAGTAGGGAATTAATTTTGAAAATATTTATTATTTATAAACGGCATATTGGTATGAAATCAACAATTTAAGGAAAGGAAAAATGAGTAAAATGCATTCGTTAGGATAACAAAAAATTGAAAAGAGGATCCCTAGTTAGGCCAATCCATGAATATGGAGAACTCATAATAAGTTGACTTTGGCTGAAGAGTCCTTGCTTATGATTGCTAGAAGTCTAGATCATAATCATTTATATTCTTCAGAGTCATATAAAGTTGACACCTCAAAAATCTTCACATCGCCAGAAAATCTGACATCTAAGTTTACCCAACTAATCTTAAGTTCTGCTCGACTCAATCAACTTCTAGTTATTTCACTGATAATTTTGTCATCTATAATTTCCTTCCACTCTGATCCTGAAAAATATTTACTAATGAAGGAAATTTTTGTTATATTTCTAAAAGAATAGGTTCAGGGAACCTTTAAAGTAAAAGGATTGATTTAATTGAGGAATTCATCCTACCAAAGTTGACGGCCTCAGAGAAGTCTGACAGTTACAAATAAAATTTGAACTTTAATCCTTTGCCAAAGTGAGGTGCCTAATAACCATTGCTTAATTTTATCTAACATAAATCATTAAAAAAACTATTAAACTAGTGGTAATATAGGTATTTGCTGTAATACAAAAATTCAATGATGGTAGTGTTATTAATAGTTAGAATAATAAATCAATTAAGAGAATATAACTTTGATTGTTCAAGGACAATTCCTTTGTCTTTCTGATTACTTAATAATCACTTTGCATTCAAGAGGAAATCTCTGATCTCTTAACACTCGAACGAATCATTTATGACTTTCAAAAACCTAAATCTCAAAAAAATAAATTATAAAATTTATCTAATATTAAAATAAAAAAGTCTTATAAATTTTACTTCTAAATAACAAAAAAGTTAAAAACTGAAATTACATTCTTATTTTCTTGGCAATCAAGAAAATACAAGATTAATGATAAATCCCAGGATGGTCGAGGATGCAAGCTGAAACTCAAGGGAATTATGAATATTCCCACTACTGGAAAATAAGGACCAACTGCCAGAGAGTGGTAAAAAAACAGGATAAACTGTTAGATTTGTCTGTGGTGTGGTTTTTGGGACAAGTTTCCTTAGGCGAGTGACAAGAAGAGAATATCTGAGATTGAAGAGATCTATAGCAAATTCGAGGATGATTTGCCTAAATCGAAAGACAAAATGATGAGAGATATGGGATTTGGTTGTTAAAAGAATGAGTAAATCCCTTGAATTCTGTAGCAAATTTATCAAATATTTGAAAACAGGAAAAACTAAAAAGGAATATTAATTTATTGAATGTTAGTATAAATAAATAATTAAAACATAATCTGGTAAATTCTTACGAAAGTAAAACTTTGAAAAGGATAAGGTTAGGGATCGAATTTAGGGTCAAGCTAGAATAGGGGATCAGTAATTGAGTGCAGCACTAGGGTGGAAATTTAAGCTTAAGCTCGATTATCAATTTGAAGAGTGGTAGAGTTATTTCGAAGATGACTGAACTGAAGAATCATGAGGGTTGTTTAAGGAAATAGATTGAATCTCTGTTACTCACTTGGCTGTCACCCTAAATAACAACAGTGTGAAGGAAGGAGTCTTGGGTGAAAAATAAACAAACAAGTCTATTTTACTTTATTTCGAACTGAATTCAGAAAAGCAATCTCACTTCTTTAAAAGATGCATGTAATTTATTAAAAAAATATTCCTTTAGTATGTTTAATCTTGTCTATGGACTGACCATGCAATAATGGAAACCTTTAAATAGTTTACTCGAATGATTAATTGTTTATTTTAGAAGATGAAAATTAAATTAAGATTTAATTTTCAGTCAGGAAAATGAAATCTTTCCAAGCAAAATGGTGGTTTTGTTCAGATACCCGTTCAGACACCCATGGCCATCCAATTGAAGACTCTAACCGTCAGATTGCAAGGACCCGCCTTGACTGAATGTTGTATAAAGAAGGTCACAACGAAGGCACCCTGGAAGAGTGCTTTAATCCATAAATGTACTATCGTAGAGACCAATTAAGGGTGGAGAGGTGAGGTAGTTAGTTTTTAAATCCCTTATAGGAACAATCAGAATTAAAAACCAAACTAAATCCCGAGTTCGATTCCTTTAATGTGATTACTTTGTTCTTTATATAATTTAAAGATAATCTTACTTTATTACTCAGTAAATTGATGCTATTTAAGTAATTTTGAATTTATTTATGTTTCTTTCTTTTTCTTTAAGTCTTTGAGTAATCAGTCTTAGATAGCAGAAATAATCTCAATTTATCTACACTATCATTCAGAGTTCCAACAAGCTTTGCAAAATGGAAAAAAATTTAAACAATATACCTAAATGAATATAATTAAATTTTAATTTTTAACATGATTCTTTATTAGAGTTAGAGAAGACTATGATTAATTAATTGTTTAAAAGTTAAAATTGTGGAAATAATGTTTGATTTTTTAATTATTATATAACTCGTAAGATATTTAGTATAATTCAAAATTCTTTATTTTTGGCAAAAATATTCAAAAATTCATTTAAATTACCCATTCAACCTTATAATTGAGGCAGTATGATAAATTTTGTCTTTACTATACAATGTCTACAAGATTTTTTTTTTAATTTATTTACATATTACTCATAATTTTATCAAGTTTGTAAAGCTAAGTCAAATTATTTTAGTAAAGTATTTAGCTTTTACTGAGAATTCTTTCAAAGTTATTGAGAGGAAAAGATTTTACAGAAAAACTTAGGTGATAAGAATTTATAAATGATTAATGCATACTATACAATATTATACAAAATGAGATCTCATAAAATTAATCTACCATTTACTAGCATATTAAGATAAAGTATTCTTTTGATAAAAACTCTATTGATTTTCAAACTTATAGTCTCAAAGAAATTAGCATCTTGGACTAAAAGTGTTGATAAAATAATTATAACAAATCTATCAATTAAAAATAGTTTTTTTTCATGATGTCAAAAATATTCTCTAGATTTTAGGATTTCTTGCTTTTGAAGCTCGAAATAATTGGTTTCTACTTGAATGAATTGTATTATAAGATATTTTATAGGTGTATATTACATTATTATACATTTTATTTGTTGTAAATGGTATTATTTGCCACATTCCTTCTTTGAAAGAATTCAATAATGACATTATTCTGAATAAAAATCAGCAATAATTATGATATTGTCCTGATTTTTAACACCCTTCTGTATTTTCGAGCTCTTATCATAATGAAAAGTTTTAAAGATTAATGCTAGAAAAAGGGCATTTAGTTAAAATATATATTTCTATTTTGAAAAGATTGCTAGGGTATTCCTAGATTAATTGATGTTCAATTTCACTAGACTATTTCAAAAATTAAGTATTCTAAGATAAAAGTTGCCAAGAAGCTCAAGGCAGAGAACATGAAATTCTGTTACAAAAATTTCCCTATTTTGATTAATCAAAGAAAATGCTTTGATCTGATTTCATTATTTTTTCAAAACAATTTGCAATAGCTTACTGAAATAAACTTAATTAACCTCAATTATTTTATGCAATCTTCAAATTAAATATCATTTGAATTAGATTAAATTAATTTTCAAAGAAATTTTATTATTTGGCTATTGATTCTTTTAATTAAAATAGATTTTCAGATCCTCAAAAAAGTACTTTCTTTTAAGCTAACCTCTTAAAGGAAACCACATCTTTACTGTATAAGTTTTATAAGTATATATATATATAATTTACACATTTATTATAAATGGTTACTAATTGATAATGGCTAAAAACTTTGGTCAACAACGAGGGTTATCTTATTTTATGCCTTCATCACAATTTTTTCTTATGACTATACATAATCACGTCAACATCAGCTCTGATATTACTTTTAGACACTTCATCAAGTGTTTTTCAATTATTTAATAATATTTTGACAATATGGTAGTTTTTTTTTATTTGAGCATTAACATGCTTAAATTTAGTATTTGTAGAATTTAAAATATCTCATAAAATTTATGAGTTTATTATTGCCACGAAAGTGAGAAAAAATGTGTACTCAAGCAATTTTACTATAAATATTGTTTTATGAATTAGTTCGTTCATTGATTGGAAATTTGATTTATAATGTAAATATTTTGATATAAATATTAATTCAATTATTTGATTAGATAATCTTGAAGAATTAATTTCTTTTGAATTAAATCAATTTATATAAATAAAAATAATTGTGATTTATATTATAAATTTATGATATTTGATTTTGAAATATAATAAATTAATTTAGATTTTAATGGAAATTTTTAAGTGTTAATACATTGGCCATGAAAATGAAGAAATTATTGGATTTTGTTTGAATTAGAACTGTTAAAAAGTAACACAATATTGTTATGAATGTTTAAATACTACTCATTCAGAACATTTCAATGATTGTATTAGATTCACTAAAATGAACTAATTTATGAATGAATTTATACAAGTTTATAATCAATAAATGAAATAATTCAAAGAAATCTCTCAACAACTTTAAAATTGTTTTGAATAGATTTTTAAAAAAATGGATTAGGAAATTAAAACATTAGAAAATATAACCCAACAACTGTTAAACAAAGACTATTTGACTTTTAAGTAATAAATACATAAAATAAAATAATATTACTCCAAAGAAAAAGAAAATTAGATATGTATCATTTTTTATATTAAAAATAATAGAATAACAAATAATATAATTAAATAATATTTTTGATACTATTAAAAATATTGTACCAGAATAAAATAAAGTGGATGATAAATTTTATGAAGTTAATTAAAATGATAATAAAATACAATAAAATAATAAAGAGATTGATGAAAAAGAGCAGGAATAGATTAAGGTAGTTTAAATTAAATTTAATGAAGGTATAATCATATTTATCTAATGTTAGGAGTGTAATTACACAATTTAAAAAAATATGGAGAAGCTATTGAGTGTTACGACAAAGCTATTTTAATTAATCCTAATTATGCTGATTTCTGGTATAATAAGGGTAATTGACTGTTTTACATTATTATTTAGGTATTGCATTAAAGAATTTAAAAAAATATGGAGAAGCTATTGAGTGTTACGACAAAGCTATTTCTATTAATCCTAATCATGATATTGCCTGGTATAATAAGGGTAATTGACTGTTTTACATTATTATTTAGGTATTGCATTAAAGAATTTAAAAAAATATGGAGAAGCTATTGAGTGTTACGACAAAGCTATTTCTATTAATCCTAATCATGATATTGCCTGGTATAATAAGGGTAATTGACTGTTTTACATTATTATTTAGGTATTGCATTAAAGAATTTAAAAAAATATGGAGAAGCTATTGAGTGTTACGACAAAGCTATTTCTATTAATCCTAATCATGATATTGCCTGGTATAATAAGGGTAATTGACTGTTTTACATTATTATTTAGGTATTGCATTAAAGAATTTAAAAAAATATGGAGAAGCTATTGAGTGTTACGACAAAGCTATTTCTATTAATCCTAATCATGATATTGCCTGGTATAATAAGGGTAATTGACTGTTTTACATTATTATTTAGGTATTGCATTAAAGAATTTAAAAAAATATGGAGAAGCTATTGAGTGTTACGACAAAGCTATTTCTATTAATCCTAATCATGATATTGCCTGGTATAATAAGGGTAATTGACTGTTTTACATTATTATTTAGGTATTGCATTAAAGAATTTAAAAAAATATGGAGAAGCTATTGAGTGTTACGACAAAGCTATTTTAATTAATCCTAATTATGCTGATTTCTGGTATAATAAGGGTAATTGACTGTTTTACATTATTATTTAGGTATTGCATTAAAGAATTTAAAAAAATATGGAGAAGCTATTGAGTGTTACGACAAAGCTATTTTAATTAATCCTAATTATGCTGATGTCTGGTATAATAAGGGTAATTGACTGTTTTACATTATTATTTAGGTATTGCATTAAAGAATTTAAAAAAATATGGAGAAGCTATTGAGTGTTACGACAAAGCTATTTCTATTAATCCTAATCATGATATTGCCTGGAATAATAAGGGTAATTGACTGTTTTACATTATTATTTAGGTATTGCATTATACGATTTAAATAAATATGGAGAAGCTATTGAGTGTTACGACAAAGCTATTTCTATTAATCCTAATTATGCTGTTTTCTGGAATAATAAGGGTAATTATTGTTTTGCATTATTATTTAGGTATTGCATTAAAGAATTTAACAAAATATGGAGTAGCTATTGAGTGTTATGACAAAGCTATTTCCATTAATCCTAATCATGATAATACCTGGTATAATAAGGGTAATTGACTGTTTTACATTATTATTTAGGTATTGCATTAAAGAATTTAACAAAATATGGAGAAGCTATTGAGTGTTATGACAAAGCTATTTCCATTAATCCTAATCATGATAATACCTGGTATAATAAGGGTAATTGACTGTTTTACATTATTATTTAGGTAATGCATTAAAGAATTTAAATAAATATGGAGAAGCTATTGAGTGTTACGACAAAACTATTTCCATTAATCCTAATCATGATATTGCCTGGAATAATAAGGGTAATTGACTGTTTTACATTATTATTTAGGTATTGCATTATACGATTTAAAAAAATATGGAGAAGCTATTGAGTGTTACGACAAAGCTATTTCTATTAATCCTAAAGATGCTGATTTCTGGAATAATAAGGGTAATTGACTGTTTTACATTATTATTTAGGTAATGCATTAAAGAATTTAACAAAATATGGAGAAGCTATTGAGTGTTATGACAAAGCTATTTCCATTAATCCTAATTATGATAATGCACATAGTAACAAAGGTAAACTCATTTATAATTTAGGCTTTGCACTACATTAATTAAAAAAATATCAGGAGGCCATCTTATCATATGATTCAGCCCTTTCTATGAATATTAATCATTTAAGACTTAAACTGAAAGGTACACCATTCTTAATTTAATTTTAATATAGCTGATTCACTATTTGAATTAGGAAACAAATAAGAAGCTAAACAATTCTATTTGGCTGCATTATAACAAGGATCAAAAGAAAAGGATTACATATAGAAATAATTATCAAAGTTATGAATCATCATCATATTTTAAAATATCATATTAATAAATCAAATATTCAATTTAATTTAACTTATCTTTTTATACTATTCCTCTTCTATTGTATAGAATTGTAATATGAAAAAAAAAATGAAATCTTAAAAATTACGATTTTAAACAAATTAAAAATTCGTTAAAACCATTTTTAAAAAGAAAAATATAAAAAAATGATATTTTGATCAATATTTGATATTATGTATACACGACCTTGCAAAAAACAATGAAATTTTTCCATAACACACTAAGACGATTTTGTTCACTTAAATCTGTTTTATCTTATTTAAGTTCCGATTCAGAATACTATCTTAGATTCTCTAGTTTCTAATTGGCAGTAATTTTTTGAAATCGATATAATTATTTTTTTGATTATTTGTCCTAATAACTCAACTTTTGTCCCTCAAATATAAACACCCTCTAATATAGGTAATACTTGATATAAGTCTATCATTTATAATTCATAAATTAGTATGAGATTAATAATATCATCTACTTTTTCAAGAGAGATAATTTAAAAGTAGTTTTGATTATGCCATCCTAATGAAGAGATTCTCAACTATTTTTATTGATTTTAATTTTTGAAAATGACATAAATGCAAATTTTCCCATCAGAGACTCGTCTCAACGGGGTAAGTCTGAAGTGATCCAGGTTACGAGTCCTTGAATCTGACAGTCTTCCTTAGTTCATTCTTCTGATTGTCATGGCCTACAAACCGTCCTAGATGGCTATTGACAGGAATTGGGGTCGAAGAGGGCAGCCTCTCAGGTGACCAGAATTATGACATCATCAAGAAATAAAGTTAATTAAATTTTAAATGACATATATAAAATTTTATTTATAAATCCTTTCTATCAAATATTAAGTGAATCAATCAAATATTCAGATAATCCCCCAAATTTTAGACGTCAAAATTTAATTTCAAACTTTGATTGTATGAGATTTGCATAAAGTATAGGAATTGTATTTATTAAAATATTTACATTTCTTTTTTTATACAATAAATATACTAGAAGGTTTTCATATTTGATATTCACTTTTAGATTTATTGGAAATCAAGCCTAAATATCCAAACCTTTCAATATTATGGAAATTTAAATGAAAATCAAAAATTCTGTTCATTAGATATCAATTAAATTTATAAATACTTAGTGCTTAAGATTGGTATTTAGTATGATTGTTAATTTTATTTCTAATTGGTTGTTCTAATCAAAATAGGAGTTAATAATTTTATCATTGGTTCTTTCTCAAATAAAAATGTATATGATAAATAAATATTTTCATCATTGAACTCATTAATATTAGATAGATTTTATATCACTTAAACTAGATCTATTATTTTCAAAAAAATAAAAAAATAACCACATTTTTTAATATTTAGAATGTAAATATCAACCCTAACTAATTATCCTTAGAATTAGGATTAATCAATATTATCCTCCTGTCTATTAATGGTAACAATTTTTCACTTTTTAGGGTAATAATTTTTATTATTACTTATTTTCTTCTAATAAATGACAAACCTAA